GGCAGGACGGCAGACTCGGATGAACAATGGGCAACCGAGCATGCTCCTGCTCAGGCATCGGATGCAGCTGACTAAGCCGCAGCTTGAGGGGGATGAAAGGAATGACTCCAAAGGCGAAAGGTGGATCGAAGGACCCAACAGTGGCACCCAATGTGGGAAAATGGGAGCCAGGAACGTGGGGACCCAGGGCTACACCTCAACCTGAAGGTCTTGGTGCCCAGGGAACAAAGGGCTTAAAGACTCCCAGTGTGTTCAGAAGGAGCAGGCCGGCGTGCAGTCAGCAAGGGTCTTGGGGCATGGTGTTGTGTGGTTCTGGCAGGGAGATTTCCGGGCTCTACGCTCTCCATTTGGCCCATAATGTAGAGAAGAAGGGAAAGAGAGACACACCCTGCGGCTCTCTGACCCATCCCAGGCTCTACTCTCCTCTGAGATGGCAGGGAGCTGGGGGAGTGGGGGCGCTCATTGCGGGGTAGGAAGGGGAGGTAAGCTCAGCCAGGAACAGATTCTACACACGCTGGGTTGAGAGTGAATTAAAGCAGGGAGAGGAGATGTTCGCCCATCACCAAGTGCTGTGTAATCCCTGCTACCCACAAAGCACCATTATCACTTATGTCCAACCCACAGATAAAGGAAGGAGGTAAGTGCTCAGGGTGCAGACAACCTACCCAAAGTCGTGGACAGAAGAGCTTCGGTACGGATAGGACTGAGGACAGCCTAGGAGAGAGCCAAGTTGCTTTTCCTCCCGCTTCAAGATCCCTGGTCGTATAGCCATAGAGCTGGCATAACCAGACTCCCCTTTTACCACTCACTTCCTGCCTTGCTGATACCCTCGACCAAACTTAGTTTTTCAACAGAACAAATCCACCCCTGGCCCAGAGCATCCCAGAATCACACTATTCACTCTTGCCTGGACCAAACGTTTTCCCTGCACAGACTACTCCAGGTTTCATGTCCTCCATCTATTTATGTCTCAAATGTCATCTCCATGGCGCATCCCTCCCTAACCGTGCAGCTGAAACAAGTTCTTGCTTCCCGTTATCTGTCTGTCATGTCTCCTCTTTCCTCAAGGCACTGATTGCTAACTGAAGCTGAACCTTCACTAGCATGGCTGTTCTATCCTCTCCTCTGGACTCTATAGCGTCTACAGTGTCAGATCTATGTTGGCCGAGGCTTAGGAGAGATCCGCCAAATAAACTGCTGAAATCAGGTGCGGTGGTACACACCTGTGACTTAAGAATTCAGGGTGAAGCCAGGCGTTGGTGGCGCACGCCTTTAATCCCAGCACTCGGGAGGCAGAGGCAGGCGGATCTCTGTGAGTTTGAGACCAGCCTGTCTACAAGAGCGAGTTCCAGCACAACCTCCAAAGCAATACAGAGAAACCCTGTCTCGGAAAAAAAATTCAGGGTGATTGCCTAAGTTCACAGCCTGGGATTCAGGTAAGATAATTTTAATTAATTAATTAATTAATGGAAATTTAAGGAGTCAGGAGTACTGAAGGCAAGAGTAATGAAACACCACAAGATCTCTCAAGATTGAGTCCTGTCTAAATAATAATAATAATAGTTAGCCGGGCGGTGGTGGCGCACACCTTTAATCCCAGCACTCGGGAGGCAGAGGCAGGCGGATCTCTGTGAGTTTGAGGCCGGGCTGGACCGACAGCCTCCAAAACAACACAGAGAAACCTTGTCTCGTAAAAACCAAAAAAAAAAAAATAGTTGTTCATCTTTCAGAAGCTGGGTACCCACCAGAGTCTCAGGTTATTCATATACATATATATGTATATATAAGAACATACACACATATATGTATATATATATACATATACATATACATATACATATATATCATGCACTCTTACAAATCCCTCCTAAGCCCTTGATGGGATACAGAAAAGACCCAACCGTGGCCTGCTGGGTAATTCAGCCCACCCCATGGTGTCTCACAAGAATATGATCTGTGAGCAAACATCGGGCTGGGTAGCAACCACAGTTCATATGCCTGACCCGCCATCAGGTTATGGTCTGAGTACGGGTCCTCAGCCCTTCCTTCCTCTGGGCTGATCCTCCAGAGTGGGAGGAGTGACTCGCCATTAGACCTCCTTGTCACCCACTATAACATCTGTGTCACCCTTCAAGGGCTGGCTCGCCGCAGCCAACAGAGTGGATGTGTCAGAGGAGGTTCCAAGCTCTTGGTCCCCTCCTGTAGGAGACCAGATCCTTGCTTCCCCCCTCTTAAGCCAGCTGCCACGTTTGCAAGTCAGACTACTTGAGGGGAAGCCCACGTGGACACGCGGGGGGGGGGGGGCCCGCATGGAGGGTCACCGAGACTCCGGTGCTGTGCACAGCCCGTGTGAAGTTGTACCTTCCTGCCGAGCACTAAACAGAGCCCAGTGGGTACGTGACGGGCTGACATTACACAGAAGGGATGCTGAGTCCGGCCCTGTGCAAGCTCCTGCCCCGGGCCTAACGGAAAATAATTACCACCAAGATCGGGGTCGGAGATTACGTGGCAAAATAAATAAATAAATAACACCCTTCCACGCCAAAGTCTTCCAGCAAACGCCTTTTTTCCCCTGCCTTTTGAATCCCACCCACTTCTTAGCTATCCGTTCAACATTCTAGAGGACCCTCTCATTCCCTCACCTCACTGCTTACCCTGCCATCTTCTCTCCCCTCGATTCAGTAATTGCTTGAGCTTGGAGGCTCAGCACTGAGGCTTCTCCCTTCGGGGGACCCTCTGCGTCTCCACACGTCGAGGGAGGCTGGGAAACAACCGATTCCTGGGAAGCCCTATGGTTCTCCAGACGTTTGCCACCGTCTGCTGTGTACGAGGGGAGTGCGCTGCCTGTGAGGATGACGGGGAACGTCCTTCTGTATATATGTTTCTCTTATTGGTTGATGAATAAAAACACGGTTGGCCACTAGCCAGGCAGGAAGTATAGGCGAGGATATGAGACGAGGAGGATTCTGGGAAGAGGAGGCAGAGAGAAGCCACCAGAGAGAGAGAGTGACGCCATGTAGAGACCAGGAAGATAGGATGCACCAGGCGTTCTCTGGTAAGATAAGGCCATGTAGAAATACATAGACTAGTAGTTATGGATTAATAATTAAGAGAGAGAGAGAGCTAGCCAGTAAGAAGCCCTAGCCATCAGCCAGCAGTTTATAAGTTAATAGTCTTTGTGTGTTTACTTGGGGCTAATCGGCTGTGGGATCAGGCTGGAAAGAAGCTCCAGCTACACGGTGGGATCCCTGCACAGCCCACTTTAACAGCCCCCCCCCCCTTCACGGTCTCCATGGACCTGAGGATGCGTTACGGTGGTCCCTGTGATCTCTGTGCCCCTCACAGAACCTCCCGCACAGTCAGTGCTCAGTAAATGTCCCGTGACCTTTTAACTGCTGTCTGGCTTCAGTCTTAGCTCCTGAGTGACTCCAGGTGCCGGGTCTCCTGGGCCCGGGGGCTCTGGAGGTCACAGAACACTACTCTTTAACTTCTGGCTCCTCTCAGTCACAAGTTCTCCCAGGCCCACGCGGTCTATATGCACAGCAGGACCCCAATCGGAAGGATGGTACGTGACACCCACATTGTCTCCGACTGCATAGAACAGACACAGATTTCCTCGTTGTCTAGCACTGCCAACTAGCTGGCATCTGTTGCTGTAAAGCGCAGCCCAGACAGCATTTTGACCACAACAGTTGCCCTGTGATCACACAGGACTCATGACCTTAACTCTACATTCCAGAGATACAGGGCTGAGAGATCTGAGGGGGGGACTGTGTCCTGCAGATAACTAGACCAGGGGACAGTGGCCAGTTTCCAGCCCTGCTTGGCTCCAGTGACACCTTATCTACAAAATGAGCACCACGCTCTACGGACAAAATCCAGAGCATGTCTACTCGACTACCACGAACTCTCCTCACACCTCATGAGGTGCCAGCACCTGGCCTTGGCCCTCTCTCCACAGCTCCTCCTCAGGAGGAGGGCCTAGTCAGAAATTACCACAGGCTCTCAAGGGCCAGGAAGGCTCAGCTCTGTGTCACAGTTAACACGAAAAGATCATTGTGTCGCCACATATCACTCAGCCATTTGGGTCTCCCAGACTCCCAGGGCCCACAGAACTTGTGGAACACCAGCTGTGTGCCGAGGAAGCCATTTCCCAAACCCACACGTAGCATAGTACCAATTCTTTGCCATCTGTCTGTGGTGTATTAGATTTTTCTTTCCTACTTTCAATGTGTTACAAGGTGACACTTTGATAAAAGCACACAGATCATGTGCTTGAATAGTTGTCATGAGGCCATATTGTCTTAGAAAATCTTGGAGATGTGTGTGCAGGAGGTACATGTAGGAGCATTGTGTGTGTGTGCGTGTGAGCACTAAGTGTGCATGTGTAAATGTATGAATGGGTATGTGAGTATGTGTAAGTATGTGTGTGTGTATGCACCTAGGGATTGCATATGTGAGCATGTATGAGCGCGTGCGCGCGCGCGCGCGCGCGTGTGTGTGTGTGTGTGTGTGTGTGTGTGTGTGTGTGTGTGTGTGTGTGTGGGTTTTTTTTCTTTTTTTGGTTTTACGAGACAGGGTTTCTCTGTATTGTTTTGGAGCCTGTTGGACCAGCCCAGCCTCGAACTCAGAGATCTGCCTGCCTCTGCCTCCCGAGTGCTGGGATTAAAGGCATGCGCCACCACCACCAGGCCGCGTGTGTGTTTCTTTTGAGACAGGAATTCACATAACCTAGGTTGGCCTTGAACGTGTGTGTGTGTGTGTGTGTGTGTGTGTGTGTGTGTGTGTGTGTGTGTGTTTCTTTTGAGACAGGGTCTCATGTTACCTAGGTTGGCCTTGGACTTCTGATCTTCCTGCCTTCACCTCCCAAGTTCTAGCCACCACACCTCCCCTTGAGGAGGTGTTGGGAATTGAACCGGGGTCCTCAAGCATGCTAGGATAGCACTCTGCTGACTAAGCTACCAATGGATGTGATGGGACGGGGCTGTCAGTGCACTTACTGGCTGATGGCTGGAACTTAACCAGGTCTTGCAAGTCCGTAGAGATCTGGAAAACGTGGCTGTAGAACTGCTGCACGGAGTTCCTGAGGCCAGAGATGTCTCTGGAATGTGACCTGAGCGTCCCGTTCATCTGCCGGATGCAGCTCCACAGGCTGCCCACATGCTTGTTGAGCCCTTCCTTGATCCTCTGCAGACCCCCCGAGATGGCGTCCAGCCTGCTGCATGTCTGCTCCAGTTGAGACACCCTGCCCTCCACCGCGGACACCCCGCTTTGAACCCCGTGAGCGCTCTCCTTACATGTGCCCAGCTCAGCCAGCACTTGGTTCTGCAGCCTCTGCCAGCGCTCCTCCAGCCGGCCGCAGCATGGAGCCGCAGGGGCCCCAGGAGATGGGGCAGTCCCCGCTGTGCTCTCTTGCTTCCCCGTCTTAGTAAACCCACTCGCCTCGGCACTGTCACCTGCTCCGCTGTCACTCACTCCGCTGTTTAAACAAGTCCCCTTGCACTCTGAGTGATTCAGTCGAGAATGAAGAGAGCGGAAGTCCTCCCGAAGTTTCTGGATGCTGCCACCCGTTTCTTGGAACTGCCTGTGCATCGTGTCGTTGAGGGATTCCAAAAGGCTCAGGCTGACCTGTGCGAGGTCCTCTCCACTCGGCAAACTACCATCTAGCCCATGAGGCAAGCTCTGCAGGCAGATGTCCTCAACCACTTGAACTTTGTCCTTCAGGCGGTTCAGCTCCCTTAGGACCTGTGCATTCCCTGCCCCGGGCTGCTCTGGGCCCACTGGTGACAACTCCACGTCTGAGCTGTTGGCCCCTTGCAGGACAATCCCCAGACGGTCTTCCAGGGAACGGATTTTCTGATTGAGAAGCTGCCTCAGGTCATCTACCTCGCCGTTGATGGCCCCGCGAAGGGTCTCCTCGATGTAAAAGCAATGCTCTTCTGCGTTCTTCTCCGTCACGTTGATCCTCGCGTCCAACTCGTTCCACCTCGCATCGAAGTCCGCATCTGACTCCGGGATGGAGAGGCGGTCAAACTCGTTGTCCAGCCGTCCATTCAGCATCCTGGCGGCCTCGGCAACTCTCTCGATTTTCTGGTCTAATGCCTTGATCTGTTGGCCAAAGTCACCATTCTTTTGGCTGCCGCAGCAACCGGGCTGGGCGGAGGGATCCTGCAACCGGGCTCGGAGGTCGGCGATGTCTTTTTTCAGGCTGGTCTCCTTCTCCGCCATCAGGTCTATCACCCCCTGGTAGCTGCTCCCGTAGTCGTCACACTGCTGCTGCAGGCCTACGAGCTTGTACTCGCATGTGTTCTTCAGGTCGGCCAGCTTCCGGTCCATGCCTTCCATGAGCTCCTCTCTCAGGGCGTCGATCTTGCTATCCACATAGGCTTGGTACAGCTCGTTGGTTGTCATGGTGACCGTGGGGCCCTGCGCAGCCTCCTGTAACTGCCTGAGCTGCCCTTCGTAGCCCTTCACCTTCCCGTCTAGCTCTTCCAACTTATCACTCTTGGTCTTCAGTGTGTCTTTGACTTCAGCCAGCTCGGACTTGATGTCCTTCATGCCAGATTCCTTGCTACCGGGGAGGCCAGGAAGCTGGCTCGGCTCTGCGTCTCCCACAAAGGTGCCATCAGGGGTTGGCTGCTGCGGGTGCAGGGGACCGAGCCACGGGGCTGGGCCTTTGCTGCCGTCGTCTTGAGTGGTGTGTTTGAGGTTCTCCTTCAGTCCTGCCACGGAGGACTGAAGATCCAGCACCATCCTGGTGAGTCGGACAACCTTCTCCTCCAGCACCTGAACTTTCGTCGGCTGGCGTCCTGGAGTACCTTGCTTTGGATCCGCCGCTACCTGACTTGGTTCTGCTGCATCCGTCGGTGACAAAGTTTCCTTAGGCTGTGAGACTCGGCTTGGGTCAGTATCTGAAAGAAGGAGTAAGGACATGAACGGCCAGTGTCTGCCTTAAGTCAGTTTCTTCAAGGTGTTTTTCAGTATCGTCTACCAGACTGCAAGAAGTTCTGTGGCGGAGAACAGGTTTGGAGTCAACCAAACCTCTTTTTCTAGTCTGGTTCTGCTATTTTGTACTCGAGGTTAATTAACTTCTTTGAGCTATGCTGCCCTCCCCTGTAAAGAAGATGGGCACCCCTGCCAGGGCTGTTGAAAGTATGTACACACACAGGAAGCAAGATAGTCAGGGATTTTTTTTTCACCCTGATGCTACCATATCATATCATATCATATCATATCATATCATCTACTGTATCATAGGAACACATCATTCCCAGTGAACTGTAGATACCCCACTAGCTGACTGCTGGTGATAAAATGCCACAAAACGCTTTAGAGAGATTGTCGTCAAAAAACACCTCCAGGAATCTCTTTCACTTGGCTTAGTATCCTCATGCTAAAAGAGTCTTGTTTGCCCTTGTTATGAAGAGGGTGGACACCAAATACAAAAGAGATGTTTGCCTAGCATGTGTGAAGTCTTAGGTTCGGTCCCCAGCACGCACAAAAAAGGAGGAAAAAATAAAAAAGAGAGATAAGAAGCATGTAAACATTCAATTTCTAATAATCTTACTCTGAGCAAAAGAACCCAGGAAAACAATCCAGAAGACAGATAATAATCACAGTAATGAGTCATGAAATAGGGTTATACCATCAACAGAGAGAACATTAGATTAGAAATGGGATTGCATCCATAGAGAGAGCACAAAAGTTAAACAAGACAGAAGCTACCGAAACCCACGGCTTCTGAATAGTGAGAGCAAAGCAGCCACGCCCTGGATGGCGGTAGAGGAGATGGTGGAGGAACTCTGGACAAGGTTCTCACAGGCAAGCCTGCACGGAAAGGAAAAAGCCAACAACACAGACATATACCATAGACCTTCAACAGTCATATACCGTGCGTGTGTACCTAACAATGATACAACCCTGAGATCCAGAATGCTGCAAGTATTTCATCTCATCAGTTTCGCACAACACTGCAACAGCAAGCAGCTTTTGTTTATTAAAATCCACTTAAGATACTAGAAAAAAGAGCTGGCCCCACCCTGCACTCGGGAGAGATGGCCCCACCCCTCACCACAGGCGGGGGCTAACCAAACCTGAGGGCGAGGGTGTAGGGGAGCTGACTCGGCCCCCTCTCCTGAGTTGGTGGTCTCAGTGGGACTGACTAACTCAGCTTCACCCAGGTCCACAGCTGGGCCCTAGGGTTGATCCACCCTAACACCTACCCCACCTAGGACCTGCTTGGAGCTCTTGCAGGGGACTAGTTGATGAAATAAAACCTGAGCCTGTTTATTTTTAACACAGTCAGTCTCTGAGAATGTACTGTTTTAAAATATGAAACATATATTGTCCTAGGTTTTACAAATACTCCCTAATTTATGTACATTGTTTTAGTAATGAAATTTATTTGACAATATACTTCTTAAAATATTTTGACACATTATTATTTCAAGACCTAAATCATCTTAGGCCAGGTGTTGGTGGCACATGCCTTTAATCCCAGCACTTGGGAGGCAGAGGCAGGAGGATCTCTGTGAGTTTGAGCCAGTCTGGTCTACAGAGTGAGTTCCAGGACAGAGAAACCCTGTCTTGAAAAACCAAAAAACAAAAACAAAAAAAAACAAAAACAAAAACAAAAAAAACTTAAAACATCTCATGGGAAAATAAAAACCAACAACAATTTAAACATTTAATTTCACAGGAAAAGTTGGTCTGCATTTCTTTGAAATTAAAAAGAGGGGGGGATAAAATTATACAATGCAAAATAGTAAGGAAAAGTGTTACCCACCCATAGAAGTTCACCCTGTCCATTTTATGCTGAAGAGTAAAGTCAAGGAACCCCTGAGAACTCTGACTTTGGCTCAGCTTTGCAAACAGCTCATCCAAACCGAGACAGACTGACAGTGTCTATTTGTTTTTATTTTACTCAGTTTTGGTTAATTCACTTATTGCGACAGAATCTCACTACGTGGCCCAGGCTGGCCTCATACTCTCGATGATCCTCCTGCCTTTGCCTCCCAGAGGTGCACTAACACTCCTGGCCAATCTGCCCATTTAAAAAAAAAAAAAAAAAAAAACATAGTCTTAACTCCCATAGACTCAGATATAAGAACAAAGGAAGTGCTTGACAAGCGGCCCTAAGGAAGCAATTTACTTGCCAGAAAGTGTACCACCCAACTGCCCTGCCCCTTAAAATACATTTCCACTCCGTGGGTATTGTTCCGGTGTCCACTGTAGACCTCGCCATTTGCATCAACGCCAGGACCATCAGAGGCGACCACACACAATAGGGCACCAATGAGACGTTACCTGTGGCTTTCTTCAGGTTGTTTCTTGGTCGAGCAGGCGGATGCCAGGGGGTCTTCAGAGGGTCCTTGGGACCTTCTTGGCAGTCTGCGCCTCTGAAGCCAGGACAGCATCTCCACTCCAACTGTGTCACTGTCTTGTACCTAGTGACGAACCTGGGCCTGAAGTTTACTCGATACCTGAAGACAGAGGGACAGGGTCTCACGTTAGTGGCCACTATTAGGACCTTGCTGTGACGTGTCCTCCACAGGCTCTTTTCCAAATACTTTGTCCCTAAGCGGTGGCACTACTTTGTGAGGTTCTCAAGGCCTGCCTCGGGTGGGGTCTAGTTGGAAGAAGTGGGTGATTGGGAGTATAGTTACCCTGCCTACTTCTCCCCACACTCACCCTGCTTCCTGACCACTGTGTACAACGATCCTCTATTGCATGTTCTCACCATCAATGCGTTCTGTTCGAGAGTGCGGATCCAAGCAGCCGTGCACTGGACCCCTCCCTGAAACTGAGCCAAACAGATCCTTCCACCTCCAAGTTGTGTCCATCAAGCATTTAATTCCGTCATTTGGAACCCCACCCCCACCCCACTCTTTTTTTTTTAAAGCAGACACAATGGTACACCCCTTTTTTTTTTAAGATTTATTTATTACATATATAGCGTTCTGCCTACATACCAGAAGAGGGCACCAGATTGAATTGTAGATGGTTGTGAGCCACCATGTGGTTGCTGGGAATTGAACTCAGGACCTCTGGAAGAGCAGTCAGTGCTCTTAACCTCTGAGCCATCTCTCCAGCCCGCCCCCACCCCACTCTTTACTGTTTTGGTTTGTTTTGATGGACAGTTTGGGGGCTTTTTTTGTTTCGTTTTGTTTGTTTGGGACAGAGTCTTGCTATGCAGCCAAAAGTGTCCCCCAACTTGCAATCCTCCTGCCTCAGCCTCCTGTGTGCTGAGGTGCGTGCCATCAGACCTGGTCCTTCTGTATCTTAGGTCAGTAGACACACATGAGGGCCAGAGACAAGGGGTTCAGCCAGGCCTCTGCTCACAGAACAGACAAAAGCCCAACCACACAGGAAAGCCCTCCTACACTCAACCCTGCTTCCAGTTTCTGTCCCGGGGCCGTCTATCCTCTCTTGATCCTCTTCACTTTCTCATTTCCACGCTAGCATGAGCAGCAGGACTTCTCTAGGGCTGAGAGAAATGGGCTATGTGTGTTGCTCAGCCGAGACACACACACACACACACACACACACACACACGGCGGGGGAATGACAGGAACACGGCACACTCAGAATGAACACTGTGGTGTCTTGGGATTGTGGGCTCGGTCAGCCAAGCAATTCCAGGTTAAACACCAGCTTTGGAGCCGTGCACTTAAAGTTACATTCCTGGGAAAATCACAGCTGACTACAGGGAACCAACAGTTGTCCCTCTCCCCAGAGAGTGAAAATCACAGCACCGAGCCCCCCATGAAGGCTGGATTCCTGGAAAGCTTCTGTCCCACTTCCCTAGGGCAGTGGTTCTCAACTCGAGCCTCAAAACCACCCAAGGAGTGTGGGCAAAAGGCTGCACCTCAGGGGTGCTCCTCCAGTGGGCCGGAGGTGGGTCTCAAGTGTGCACCTGAGAAAATCTTTCTAAGGAAAACCAGAGAGGAAAAGCAAGAGTGGTCATGGGGCGTTGGAGCTCAGAGCAGGCAGGCCTTACCAGGCTCTTCAGAAAGTCACTGCTTGGACCAATGAGTTGGTTCAGTGAATAAAGGTATTTACCACTGAGCCTGACCCGAGAAGCAAGTCAGCAATTCTCCCACTGATATGCACATGTATGTATACACACACACACATACACATGCATGCCCAAACACATGCACACACACAAGAACTGGAGAAGGACCCCGAGGACTTATAGGGCAGGGTAAGGGGAGTGTCTAGGGGTCTGCGACAGACTCAGGATTGGTGTACTTCCAGGCTTGGGCAGCCTGTCCTGCATTGATTGGTCAGCTGGTTGTTATGGCCCATAGGCCCTCCCAGGACAGTTGCTATGCTCTGCACATCCCTGTTGTGCACTTGTCCATAAGGCACACCCAGAGTCCTGCCGGCTAACTTCTGATTGGTTCCTTGCCACAAGGAGGGCATCTGACCTCCTAGTGACCAGGGCAGGTCCAGCAAGGTCAGACATGTGCTGCATCAGAGGCCTACATGTCTTTCCTGCAGCCTGTCATGGCTGGTAAATCTGGGATGGGGAGGGCTGGTCTCTTTAATACATACACTCAAGAATACACACATGCTAACACACTGACACATATGTTAACACATACATCACAATCCACTCACACAAACATACATTTTCATTCACACACACAGACACACACGTGCACATATACAACACATACACACACACAGCATACTCACACATGTACACATACCACACAGACACACACACACCACACCCAGACACAAATACCACACACACATACACTCACACACACACACACATATACATTCTCATACGTACAAACACACAGACACACACACCCTCACACACGCTCACTCACACACAGACACACACACTCATATGTACATATGACACACACTTATGCATACTTATACATACATATTTACACAGGGAGAGAGATAAGTGCAATTTCAAGCATTGAAGAATTGCATTAACCCTATTACTTAACCTGCGCCCTCTTGTCACAAGCAAGAAAACAGAAACTTGAGGGGTGAAGTGAGTTGCCCAAGTTCATTCTCAAGTTGTTAGAATGGAAGCTTCTGGATCCTTCTGTACCACACACAGCCTTCCCGGCAGGCCACAGCAGCCAGCCACTCTCTCTGGCAGTTTCTCAGCTCAAAGCAGCGTCCCACCTGGAAATATTCCAGAAAGCCCCAACACCCGGGGGAAGCAGCCTCTGACCTCCCCCGCACAGCATGCTTCAGCATCTACTCCAGTGCAGGAAAACACCAGCCTTGGGCTCCCCCACCCACCCCCACCCACGGAATCCCTGCACACAGAGGGACCACTGCCCTGCACATCTTGCATACTCAAGCAGAGCATCACGCTGGAAGAATGCGTAACCTCAGGGAAAAAAAAACTCTGCTCCCCGGAGCATTAGGATGGAATGTGAAAATGTGTTTGCCTACGGGTCTGCCAGTAGATGACAGCCTGCGGGAAACCTTTCAGATAAGGCTGCACAGACTATATCCCTCTGAAGAGAAGAGTGCGGATAGGCTGCTTCCTACCCACCCCCACTAGAGCCTCCTCCCCTTAACCAGGAACCGGGAACCGGAGGGCGAGGAAGGTCTGGCTCACCCATGTGCATGGGTGTAGCTGCCACCAGCTCGCCGTCACACAGCCAAGTTTCCCGAGATCCCACCCTGCTCGGACTGCACCACCCACGCCCACCCCAACCCCTGTGGGCCGGTTGCAGGGCCCTGGTGGTACTCTTTAACGCCTCAGTCTGTGAGGAAGAGGTCATTCCGGCTGGCGGCGACAGCTGGGAGACATCAGACAGCCAGCCACCTTCAGACACAGGAAAGCAGCTTAGAGGAATTTCTCCCTATGTAAGTGACAGGCCCCCCGAGGTGACCTTGGGCCTTGCCAAAGGGTGAGGGGCCTGCAGGGGCACAGCACAGGTTTAGCCAAGCCCCATAAACATATTGGTATTTTCCCAGATGAAGTGGGGTTCCCACTAAGCTAACAGCAGTCTAAGGGGCTCCAGAGATCACGAGGAACTACTACAATGTCCAGGAGCCCTCATCATACAGGAACTGCAGGAAAAAAAAATCCTACCACAGACTTTTTTTTTTTTTTTTTTTACAAACTTTCAGGGGTGTGACTTTAGTGACAAAATGCTTGCTGGCACGAAGGCCGAGTTTCTTCCCACGCACCGTCAAGGCCTTTACCTCATGCACATTTCAGAGCTTCCCCAAGCAGATATGAAAAGTGCAGCTGAGTCCAGAGGCCCCCCCCAAACCCAGGCGACATTTCTTTCCTCCTTCGGGAAACCCACCCACCTCTTCGGTACCTGGGGCCTCTGAGTACTGGGGAAGTGAAGCTGAGCCCAAATAGCTTGCTGTCGCCATGTGACAGCTCTGTGCTTTTACCCTGGGAGGAGCTCACCAGCTGCCAGTGTTAGCTAATGTCCCCCGTGTAGGGCAGCCACACCAAGGAAACAGCTGATCGACCAAAGACAGTGAGTACAAAGCTAACTGAGGTCACAGGCAGGCTTCTCCCCCTCCCAGGGGACCATGTCAGCACCCTGTTATGCGTGGAGGAGCTATGTCTGTGCGTCTGAGGCAGACATTTTGTTTCAGTCAAAGAATCCTGCACGCACACACCACCATCACCCCAGCCCCGGGTTCACACCTGGGGTCCGTGCTTGGCTTGGCTGTGCCTTTGCGGGTTGGAACGAAGGCATGGTGGCCTGTAGCCACCGCTGCAGTGTCTTAGGGTGCAGTTTCACTACCCTAAAAGTCCCCCTGGCTACGTATCCTTCCTCATCCGCCTCCCCTCACACGTTGCCAGAACGCCTCATAGCTGTGACTACTGGGCTCTGGGCTTCTCAGTCTGGCTTCTGGGGGGGGGGAGCATTTCTAGTTCCCCCTGGTTTCTTGCGGCTTGACAGATTTGCATATAATCGGCGGGCTGTCTACCATCGAGCTACGTACACCCCAGCCAGAGAGCATTTCTGTCTAAGGCTGAGTAATACTGCATTGTCTGAGACATCATTCCTAAACACAACGTCCTATTGCAGGGGTTCAATTAGCAACTGTTAACCGGTAATTGGGTCAATAGTTGGTAAGTCAAGCAAAAGTATTCGTCAGAGTTTGTGTGACCTAATAGCCTGCTTTCAAAAGAAGACCATTTCCTCTGGCCTTAAGCAGCTGGGAAGTCTTCAGTCTTCCCGGGGCTAAACGGAGCTGTGTGCCTCCGGGTCCAATATGAACTACGCAGGAGCCGTACAGCCAAGGACGACCCAGGGCTGTGCTCTCCAAGGTGCCCGCTAGCCACAGCAAGTTATTTAAATTTACATTAGATTAAAATTAAACATTTAATTCCAACAGCCACATGTCAAGTACATAACAGCATAAATGCTATCACTGTTATCACAGAAAATCCCACCAGGCAGAGCTTGCTGTGGTAGAAATAAACAAGATGGTACTTGAAACAGCAGGGGTTCGTCTGCAAGACCTTGATTTCTGGCCCCATCAAACCATCCTTTCCAGGCCCAGTAGACTTCGAGCAGACAGCTTGTTCAGCACAGTGTGTAGAACGCAAACAGAAAGCTTTCCCAAGAGGACCGCTGGCTGCTGTTAAGGGACCATCCACACGGTGGACCAACACCACATTCGACATTTACCTCTGTTCCATTTACTAAAACGTGGCATAGATCCAAAGCCCAGCACCCTATGAAGACACACTTTGGCCTGGGACTTTTCCAGAGAGTACACTAGTAAGTTCTTTCCCTTCCATTCCCCGGCCTTCCAAAAACCGTAGCCAACTTTTCCCGGCTTCATTTGTGGTGTGAAATCTGGGAGGATGAAGAAAGGAACCACACAGAGTGACTCATCTAGAACATCCTACGAAATAAATGATTGTGCCAGCAGGCCGCTTTTCCCCTTTGACCTCAACTCAGCCCCGCAGTGTAGCTGAGCGCGACCTCCAACGTGTTAATCCTCCAGCCTCCATCTTCCAAGCCCTGGGATCACACACATACGCCACGACGCCGAACTTTGTGCGGTGCTGGTTGAACTGAACTCAGGCCTCTTGGCGCAGGCTGAGCAAACGCTACCAGCTGAGCCGCGTCCCGGCCAACAACTTAAACTTTTTTTGTTTGTTTATCTTCGTTTTGTTGAGACGGGGTTTCCCGGTGGAACAGCCCTGGCTGTCCTGGAACTCACACTGTAGACCAGGCTGGCCCCCTCACACTCAGAGATCCACCTGCCTCTGTTGGGATTAAAGGTATATGCCACCACCACCTCCCCCCAAGCTGGCAATTCACATTTTTCAAAAAACTGCACTGAAATACATATGGTGTATTTATTAGCCCTAGGGATTCAAACCCAGAGCATTGTACACCCCAGAGTAAGTTCCGCCTCAGAGATCATCCCATGGTGCCCATCGGTACATGACTGGCTCCATGGCACCTGGCACGTTGATGGTGTCCACCCGCAAGTCCTTTTCAAATGAAAACCCTGTACCCAGTGAACACTAACGCCCTGGCCCTCCCTGTTCCGTAGCCTTGGCAGTCCCTTCCTCTGTGAGGTCATTGGCCCTCAGTCCCTCAACACACAGATCCTTAAAGCGCTTGTCCTTTTGTCTGACTCCTTTTTTTTTTCACACCCTCGTGGTTCTTCCATGTTTTTAGGGTGTGTCCGACTAGCCTTCCCTTTTTACTTTGGCAAAATTGGTCTTGCTAAGAAACTGACAAGACAGCCGGGCACTGGTGGTACATGCTTTTAATCCCAGCACTTGGGAGGCAGAGGCAGGCGGATCTCTGAGTTCCAGACCAGCCTGGTCTACAAGAGCGAGTTCCAGGACAGCCTCCCAAAGCCACAGAGAAACCCTGTCTCAAAAAAACAAGAAAAGAAAGAAAGAAAGAAAAACTGACAAGACAGTAGACTGATTTTTCTAGGAACCACCGACGTGCTTTTCTTATTGGGGGGGGGGGGGATTTTTTGGTCCGTGAATGAATTGATGAGATTTTTTTCTGTTTCTTGGTCCTCTGCCAAAAGCAAATGTAATCAGGCAGCAAAGGCCATGAAGTTGAAAGTGATTTCAAAACTGAGAATTTGCAGTTTTAAAACACTTCCCACATGGATCTTGTGACCGACTGAAAGTCAAAAATGGCCATTTTTACACCATGGCTGTCTCCAGAGACGGTCTATAGGGATTAAGAAGTGGATCTGATCTCTGGGTCCCTCCCATGGCTCCACTCCAAAGTTAAAGATCTTCCTTACAGTGTAAAGCACAAACTCGAAATCAAAATTTTCATCTGTTTCTGCTACATTACACATTTTTAATTGGATCACTGCATGGCGAACTTAGCACGGGAGCAAAGATGTGAAATATGTCACTTTGGCTTTTTAGGAAAATTCACCTAAACTTTAAAAAGCCAGAATGCTTTGGCCATGATATTCTTTTGAAATATACGTAATGAATCTAAATGCCAGGTTAATGAGCCTAAATTAAGGCCAGATTACAAGAAAGTTTTTTTGTGTTTTACAGTAACAGATCCTAGATCAAAGCAGCGTGTTCAGAAGGAAAACGTCCCTCTAGAAGAGCCGTCTGGTTCCCAGTACAAGAACACAGTTGCTGGAGAAACTTTGATTATAAGCTGATGGCTTTTCTATTTCCTCCTGAATTAATTTCCTTATGTCCGTAGGGGCAAGTTAGGTTTCAAAACCCAAAATCCTTTTCACCGCTTAGCATTTTGCCCTGATCATGCAGAGTAATGAGTAGGTTTCTCCCACAATTTCTAATTATCCTGGGGGGATGGGGGGAGAACAATCTTCATTCCTAAAGAAAGGATTAAAGAAAACCACCAAGGCCCAGTGAGGAGGCTGCCCCGAAGCAGCTGCAGCAGATAATGGAGCTGTTAGATTTGCCTAGAGATGGGGAGCTGCCTTCTGAGCAAATTCAGAAGTGCTGGAGGTGAGGTCATCTGGTACTGGCTGCACCCAGACGCTAGCTATAGCCTAAGGCTGTGTTCCAACAAGTCCACATTCTTAGCTTTGGGAGATCCATCCCCAAATCAAGTCACCGGGTGTTGGGCAAGAGGAGTCTGAGCCTGAGCCAGGCTCTCTACAGGAGGCCCACTCCTGTTGTGAGCCGTTTCCCCCAATCTATACCGTCCTGCTTCTCACACCTCTATCCTGTTTCCCCATTCCTGGCTGAAGAATCACAGGGAATCCAACTCCCAGTCACTCCCTAATGAACTCATCCTTGTGTTCCCACAGTGTGGACCTTGAGAACATCTGCTGGCCTGGGCCGGGAAACAGGCATTCATCAGACGCAGCTTCCCATGGTCTGGGAGCCCAGCCTTTCTACTCAGAGCCACTAAAGAAGTATTTAATTTTTAGTTGTGTGTTGGCAGTGGTGGGTGTGTGTGTGTATGCGTGCACGCCTGTTAACATTTTTTTTTTTTTTGGTTTTATGAGACAGGGTTTCTCTGTATTGTTTTGGAGGCTGTCTGACCAGCCCTGCCCTCGAACTCAGAGATCCGCCTGCCTCTGCCTCCCGAGTGCTGGGATTAAAGGCATGCGCCACCACCGCCCGGAGCCTGTTAACTCTTAAAGCCTATAATGTATGTATGTATGTATGTATGTATGTATGTATGTATGTATGTATGTACATATGTCAGAGGACTACTTACACAAAAGTCAGTTCTCTCTTTCCACCATGTAGGGTCTAGGCACCTGTCTCTCAATGCCAATCTAAAGGTATCAAGTACCTTTACCCACTGAATCATCTTCCTGGCCTAAGAACTCTATTTGATGATTCCCTTTCTTTTTTAATTGCCTGGATTCTCCTACAAAAAGAAAAAGAGAAAAAAAAAACACCATAATTCCAACATCCTGTTTCACTCAATTCAAATGTTCATGACTTTGCAACCTCTGTTCCTCCCCTTTCAAAAGCTCCGTGTTCTCCTCCATAACGCACCTCCGTCCGTGCGTTCAGAACTGCGTCGGGCCGGTGGATACTGTACAAGATTTTTCTACGCTATCCCACCACTCATCGCTTCCTTTACATGAAGTCCCTGGACTGTGGCAAGTTGTTAACCCACACCTGTAAGCCAGGGGCAATCACTCAGAAGCCTACGAAATCTGGAGACTGAAGAGGTTTCTCAGTCACCTTAAAATCATCATCATTGTCTCAGGGCCGGAAACACCAAGAACACTTGTATGTGTTTCCTGAGTTACGACCACACTGGGGAAAAGGATGAAGGCATTAGAACTAAGAAGCCTGGCATTTCTTACAGCCTAGGAAGCCAAGCCATTCTGCATCCTGCGGAGAAGGCAGGCGTTTTCTTTAGAAGCATGCTGCCGCAGCCCCCGACCTCCACCCCAAGTACTAAGTACACAACAAGTACCTAGGATGGAGGGCTCTGCTCAGCAAGGTAGAAAGAATCTGGGGCCTGGGGAGACCGCTGGGTCATGCTGATGTGCGGGCGGGATGGTTGAGCTCAGAGCTCCAGCATATACAAAAGCAAACTTGTACAGTAGCTCACACCTCGAATCATCGTGCTGGAGACCAGAGACACGGGGATCGCTGGGGCTTGCTCGACAGTCTAGCCAACCAGGTTCAATGAAAGTCCATAAGTTAAAGAAGAAATGTGGAAAGCAACTGAATAATCCTCCACATCTACCATTGGTCACCACATGTGTGTGTACACATGGCCATGTACATACATGGGCACACAGATCTACACATGCAGGAATAATTTTACAGGCTCTTAGCAGGGAAGGAGATGGGGAAGCCCCATAGAAAAATAGGAAGTGAAGACTCTCCTCAAGATTTACTGCAGGGTGGCATTGGAGTCCAAGGATATCTATGATATGCCGTACACCGTTGGTGTTACAATCTTCAAAATCCTCATTCTTGTGTGGACTCTCGGAACTAGGGTTTTACTAGAGATGTTGAAAGTATGGGGACCTATTTCTAGGCCGACCCAGTGTGGTTCTGAGAACCACCCTAGAACCCAGGAGACTCAACAAGCCATGGATAGTTGTTCACATTAATGGTCTCTGTGGAATAGTCACTGTGTGAATATGTTGCTGTGATTGGTTTATTAGAGAAGCCGACTGGTCAATAGCTGGACAGGATAAGGCTGGGCTGTAGAGCCAGACTAAGAGGACGCTGGGAAAAAGGGTGGAGTCTCAGGAGTCGCCGGCCAGACACAGAGGAAGCAGGACATTTACAAAACGAGTCAACAAGACATGAGGCACGTGGTAGGTCCTAGATTAAATTATGGGTTCATTGAAAATGTAAGCGTTAGCTAGTAACAAGCCTGAGCTATCATAATTGGCGGGTGGGAAAGAAAACTCTCCCTACAAGTCTCTATACCTGAGCATTGAAAGCCAAATCCAGTTCACATGAGAAGGAAAACGCCACGTTCTGCCTCTATACCAGAAGGTACCAGGGTACCCAGGCGCATTCCGTGTCTTTAACCATCATTCTACCCGCTCCAACATCGCCAAAGTTCAGCTACCTCAGAGCCATCAGGACATTTCTCTGCTCAGCTGCCACAGACATAAACGGGAGACTCACATTTCTGTCTCCCACACACGAAAGAGTTAGATAACTGGGAGAACTTCATACAGATGAGATTTCTACGCAGTGGATTTGGCGTGTAAGCGAACATTATTCAGTCGGCCATGCGATGGGGTTAAACCCCAACTATCAAGCGATGAGCACGGGGCCTTTGCAGTTAAAAGCAGTGTCGGAAGTCCAGTGTGGCAATACGCAGCTGTGATCCTAGTACGTGGGAAACAGACGGGGGTGGGGTGGGGTGGGGTGGGGATCTAGAGTTTCAGGTCAGGTCCTAGACTTCGTAGCGGGACTCTGCCGACAAACACACAGAGATTTAAAAGCAGCCATTCCCTAACCACCACATAACCCAGAAGCTGCTTCCCTTCCCTTGCAACCTGCGGCCCTTCCTCCCGAGACCCTTAACCAGAAGAGCTCATCCAACGTATCAGTAAACATTCAGAATAGCTTGACCTCAGTCGTGGGCTCCCTGTCCTGCATTCTAATTAACTCGTTTTCTAAAGAGAGTAGGGAGTGGGACTCACCGTGGGGCACTGGTTGGCCTAGAACTCACGATGCAGTTAAAGATGGCCTCGAATATTTGTCAGCTGCCTCTGCTTTCCAAACACTAGAATGGTAGGCATGCCCCACCATGCTCAGCATCTTCTAAACCCCGGCAGTTCTCCCGGTACCTGCGAGCCCTGGCATAGAGTAAGGCCCGGTCCATCTTCCAGCCCTGCCCAGACTCCCCAAGGCAAACTCTCCTTATGCATGCTGCCCGATGAGTATCTGGAGGCATAGCTCTGACAATCTCCCTTCCTTTGGATAACCGTGCTGGTACGGACTGAAATTGTGCCCAACCCCCAAAGACATTTGAGTCTTTGCAGCTCAGAAGGGGAACTTACTTGGTAGAGGACCCCAAGCAACTCGAGATCATCAAAGGAAGGTCACTAGGACAATGGCTCATAGTCAGTAAAGGGGGTCACTAAAAACTCAGGGGTATGGGCTTAGGGAGATGATGCTGCGGGGGGGGGGGGTCCACAGGGAGGAGATGGTAGCCCTCGGCGGCGGGCCGAGGAGGGAGGGACCTAGGACAGATCCATCATCGCTGCTGCTCACCCCTGGAGGAAGCAACTTTTGGTGTGTATTAGTTGCGCCATCGGCTCTCGGCTCATGCCTTTCCTATGGCGGCACTACCCTCCTCTCACGTCTGCTCGCATCATGTTAGAACCTTCCTTCAAATAACCTGCCAAGGCGTCAGGGTTTGCAAACAAGTTCTCAGGTTCCCCCTGGCTGCAAATGGTTTCCTTCCACTTCTGAATTACCTCAAGCACCCTCTTTTCTTCAATTTCATGTTGCCCTCCGTTTGCCTCACTTCACCTACTGGATATGAGTTTCTGAAGGGCAGGAGAAGGGTCCTTGTTTAAATCCCACGTCACCCTGACATGAAAATATTTAATAGAATGGAGTGGCCAAAGCAGTCTTCTCTCGGCTCCACTGATCCTCCTCCTGCGAACTCACAATGGCTTATGCCACTTAGTTACATGTCCCTAATCTCTTTTTATTTGAGGCAAGGTTTCTCTGTGTAGCTTTGACCATCCTGGAATTTGAACTATAAACCAGATAGGCCTTAAACTCACAGAGATCTGCCTGCCTCTGCCTCCAGAGTACTGGGATTAAAGGTGAGCACCATCACCACCTGGCTAATTTCACATTTTTTAGGACTATGAATGTGATGTGTTTTTAAGCTCCATTATGGTTTTATCTCATGTTCTGCATGATCGGTGTAGACTAATCTACTGCTCTGTAGCTCATGGTAAACCTTCATCTAGAGTGTAATTATGTACAAATGGCGGTGTCTTTACAAGGAAAAGACACTCAGCAATGAAAGGTTATCAACAACTGCACAGAGTACAACACAAATAAAGCTAAAAGGAATTATGTCCAATTTAAAAAACCAGATCAAACAGGGACTGACCGTATTCCATGTGATACCCATTTATAGAAAACTCAGGAGATCTTGTCCCTTTCCCCTTCTCTGGGGGACCACGTGTGTCTCTCTTAGGGTCCCCCCTTGTTTCCTAGCTTCTCTGGCAGTGTGGACTGTAGGCTGGTCATCCTTCTCTATGTCTAAAATCCAAGTATGAGAGAGTGCATACCATGTTTGTCTTTTTGTGACTGGATTACCTTACTCCCAACCCAGACCCCCCCTGATCGTGGGTGTCAGGAGGCCTGGGCAATCTATGGGGCTTCTGGCAGTGGATCAGTATGTATCCCTAGGATAGGAATGGACTTTGGGAGCCCACTCCACATAGAGAGATACTCTCTCAGCCTAAACACATGGGGGAGGGTCTAGGCCCTGCTCCAAATGATATGACAGACTTTGATGATCCCCCATGGAAGGCCTCGCCCTCTCTGGTGAGCAGAAAAGGAATGAGACAGGGGGTGGTCAGTGGGGGACAGGGGAGGAGGGGAGGGAGAGGGAACTGGGATTGACATGTAAAACAAGCTTGTTTCTAATTTAAATTTAAAAAAGGAAAAGGAAAAAAAAACTCTAGAATATCCCAAAGTGAGCTGTAATAATGAAAAAAAAAGCAGATATTGGCAGCTTTAGTGGAAGATTTGTTGGTGAGGATGGGTGGAGGGGTTAACAAAAGGTTTAAGAAGATTTGGGGAACAATGGGCACCAAAGGTGTTAAAGGTGAACTCACCCAGAATGGGTCCTCCCCTCCCAAATCAATCACTATGAAAATGCCCTCCAGGCCTGTGTACAACTCTGTCTGTCAAGCCTCCTTCCCCTCCAACGATTCTAACTTGTACCAAGTTGACATAAAGCTAGCTGGGACAACGGACCTCTTGTCAGCTCGACACACACAGATCACTGCTAAACCACAACTTCCCCTTTCTTGTTCATCCCAGGATCATACATTTATATCAATATCACGATTAAACAAACTTAAAAGGGGCCACAGTCTTCATTAAATTCAAACACTCGAGAAATTCAGTCTCTCAGGGTGGGTATCGGTGGCACACACCCTTAATCCCAGCACTAAGGAGGCAGAAGCAGGTGGATCTCTGTGAGTCTGAGGCCAGCCTGGTCTACAGAGTGAGTTCGGGGACAGTCAGGACTGTTTCACAGAGAAACCCTGTCTCAACAACCAAAATAAATCAACAAATAGGCAGGCAGGCAGACAGACAGACAAAATTCAGTCTCTTGAAGTGACAGTCAGGGAGCTTGTATAGGTCTGACCTCCATTCTCTGCGTGTATGTTAAGGCTGTATGTCTGGTGTTCTTGTGGGACTCCTAATAGTGGGAGTGTGTGTGTGTGTGTGTGGGGTGTCTCTGACTCTTTTGCCTGTGCTTGGGACCCTTTTCCTCCTACTGCTCTTTTCTGAAAGGAATTGGAGGAGTGAATCTGGAGGAAAGGGAAGTGTGGGGGAGGGATTGGGAGGAGTGGAAGGAGGGGAAACTGAGGTTGGGATGTAATATATGAGGGAAGAATTTAAAAACTCAGTCTCTTTAAAATATCTTGTCTCTTTTAAAATCCAACCCCCCTTTTTTTTTAGATCAGCCTGGCTTGCACAGCAAGTTCCAAGGAACATCCAAGGACCCCATCTCAAAAAAAAAAAGAAAAAAAAGAAAAAAGAAAAAAGAAAAAAAGAAAAGAAAAAAAATACAAAATCTTATAAAACTCCAAATACTCTAAATGTTCAAAATTTCTCAGGTATGGGCTCCTGTGAAAATAAAAAATAAATTAGGCATTTTCTTACCTCAAGAGGGAAGAACCAGGGCACAGTCACAATCTGAAAAAACTAGAACCAGACTCCAACAGTGTAAATAACCTAGTATCCAGTGTCTGGGTCTACTCATGATCTTCTCTCCTCTACGGTACACACAGCTTGTCTTCTAGGCTCTTGTAGTCTCCATTCTATCACTGCTGTTGTTCTTGGTGGTCATTGCATGGTACTGGCATCTCCAAAATGTTGGGGTCTCTTACTGCAGCTAGGATGCATTTTCAGCAATAGCCTTTCCTGGGGGCCTTTCTTCAGGGACAGCCTTGCCAACACAGCTTCCACTGCTCTCCATGACCCCTTCATGTCTTCAAAACCACAACCACCTGCATGACTCTCACACTACCAAGTTTGGCTGCCAGCACTAGGTAAGACGTTGGCTACCTCTGGAACAGTTCCTAAGTCCTGACTCTGAGGAAGCACTTCCCAGAAGACTTCACTTCGATGATGCTGCTCTCTTCTCAATTACCTCTAGATTTCTCAGCTTCAGCTGACCACCACTGATTTTCCCAGCAAAGCAAAGACTTCACCTCATTCATCTCTTGTTAAAATCACAGCTGGCCCTTCAGCTGCAGCTGACCAGACACCATATAATCTTAATTCAAAATAGCAAATGCCCCTGAAGTTTAAATTTACCTCTAAAACTTCACAAATCTGGCCTCCATCATCTGTACTGCCCGAAACATCTGATCTCCCAAACTCCCACCACACAGCCCAACACTCAATGACTTTTCTAGCCCAAAGTTCCAAAGTCCTTCCACGATCCTCCCAAAAGCGTGATCAACTCTGCCACAGTCAGGGTTACATCTTACCGCTGACAGTCAAGATAGGGCTTTAAATGACCACCTTCAGGTTGTAGAAAATGATTTTATACACGCGCGCGCTCGCACACACAAATAGCTTTTGAAAATACAAAGGTATAGCCCTGTGGCAAAGCCCTGTGGTATATACAAGACCCTAAAACCAGAAAGAAAAGAAAATACAACAAACTCTGAAAATGACCCAGTGATGCTGGCTTTAGTTTCTACATGAGATTTCTCATAGAGTCACTCAGTTGTGCTCCACAGAGTGGTCACTGACACGAACCTGGAGATGCACAGCTGAAATCCCAGCACCCAGGTGCTGAATTAGGACAGCTGTTAGCTCAAGGCCAACCCGGGCTACATAATAAGATGCTGTCCTCCCCCCTCCCTCCCCCCTCCCCCCCTCCAAAAGAAAAGCAGAAAATGAGCCATTGGGCAGTGGTGGCTGCACCTTTAACCCCAGCACTCCGGAGGCAGAGGCAGGTAGAACTGAGGTTTCAAAAGACCTGAGCCATTCATAGTGGTCTCCTACTTGTTGATCAGGATAATGTGATCTCAAACCATGCTGTGGGGCTTCTCTTTACCTCTGACTCTCTGAAACTTTGAGCCAATTAAAAAGTTATTTTTTCTTCTGATAAATTGCCTTGGTCATGGTGTTTTTGTTTGTTTGGTTTTTGTTTTGTTTTGTTGTTTGGTTTTTCAAGACAGGGTTTCTCTGTGGCTTTGAGGCTGTCCTAGAACTAGCTCTTGTAGACCAGGCTGGTTTCGAACTCACAGAGATCCGCCTGCCTCTGCCTCCCTAGTGCTGGGATTAAAAGCGTGTGCTACCATCGCCCGACAGTCATGGTGTTTTAGCAATAGAAAAGTAACTAAGGGCCGTGAGGTGGTGGCCCACGCCTTTAATCCCAGCACTCTGAAACCAGAGTTAGGCAGATCTCTTTGAGTTCGAAGCCAGCCTGGTCTACAGAGTTCCAGGACAGCCAGGTCTACGCAGAGAAACCCGTCTCAAACAAACAAAAGTCGAAGATTGGCTGATGAGATGCTCCCCAGTCCCGCTGACAAGACTGATGAGCTCCATGCCCAGGACCACATGGTGGAAGGAAAGAACTGATTCCTATAAGCTGTCTTTCGACTTTCACAAGAATGCTGTGACACACACACACACCCCAAAACATAAGAAAAAATTGGGTGCCTGTCAGGACTAGTGGCTTTCCAGTAACAATTTTGATGTGGGGAGTTGGACAGCACCTCGCTGTTTGGTTCCCTCGAGAACAAGCTACAGATGGCATTTTGCGTTCCCTCCTTTACCAAAGCGAAAAGGGAGCGCTGGGGTGTGTCTTGAACTTGCTTTCCCCAGTGATGCAATGCAATGATTGCAAGTCCAGGCGATGTCGCAAGGCACCGGGATGGGAAAGAGAACGTGGCCCATTCTGACTGCTCGTGCTGATCCTGCACGCTGCTTCAGGAAGTCCCTCCAAAGCTGAGAGGGCCCGATGAAGTCCTGTGCTTAGACAAGAGGCCTCCAGTTCCATCAACAGGAGAAAAAAAAATTAAGGGAGGAAGAGCATGGGAGAGAGGCCTCTGCATTCTGATTGGAGCCAGAGAAAGGCTTTCATGGAGACAAGCCTCCCATGAAGAGCTGGATTTCATAACCACCCCGCCCTGAGCTCTGTCGCAATCAGCATCACAGCTCCCAATCTCCTTTTATTTCCAGATACATGGAAAAGCTTCAGTGTGCAGAAAAACAAGCAGTGTTTCCCCCAGCTAAGATTTACAAGACATTTTTATGCCTTTATCCCATTATCCCTGTCTGGTGTGTGCAGTGAAATGAAATGACTTCCAGTTTGAAGGAAGGAAGCGCCCAGCACTGTTTTTTTTTTTTCTTCTTTTTGAGCCACAGTTTCTATTTGGTCTTGTCTGGCTATGTGCAGCAAACTGGCCTCAAACTCAGAGACCCACCTGCCCCAGCCTCCTGAGTGCTGGGAATAAAGACACTCATGACATCTCATTTCTTAAGGGACAATGTTGAGCTAATCTCTACAAAGGGGTAACCAGTTAAGCCCACAAAGTTCAGAGATAGGAAGTTGGGAAACAGAAGTGACGAGGATTCTCTTTCATGGAAATGGCCGGCTTCAGAGGGTTTGTCCAAACTGGTTTCCTCTTAACCGAATGCGTAAGGGAATACATTGTCCTGGAAGGCTGACACAGCAAAGCAAAAATTTTAGGCGTATTCTTAGGTGGAAGGAAAAACAAACAAACAAACAAACAACAACAACCAGATCCTTCCAAATAACACAAGCCAAAAGTTTGCCTTCCACAGTGTTTTTGAACCAGGAATTGGGCTCATCTGAATCATCCCCCCCCCCTCCACTCACCCCCAGCACCTGTCACCTATTTAAATAAAAAAGGGACAAAAGTTAGTGATGAGTTTAATTTCAATCATTTCATCATTTTTCCTCCAATGTGAGTTGCTGTCACATTGAAAGCAACTATGTGACTCCTGTGTTTCAGTAAAACCCCTCTCTTTGTAACTATTTTTTTTAAGCCAGGGTTTCTCTGTGTAGTCCTGGCTGTCCTGGAACCATCTGTAGACCAAGCTGGTCTCAACCTGACAGAGATTCACCTGGCTCTGCCTCCTGAGTGCTAGGACTAAAGGTGTGCACCACCACTGTGTGGCTGTGACTACTCTTTGTCATGTCATTATGAAGACACCATTTGGTTGGTTGTCAACTTTAATCCCAGAAAACTGCTTCTTGAAAGGACCAAAGAAGTTAATTCTGAGAAGTTGGAAGAGTAAAGTCATATGACCAGCAGTAAATCCAGGCACGGATGAACTGGAAACAATCTGCATACTGGCAGTTTATCAGCCTAAGGTTTAAAAATCCTCATGGGAAGGAGGGTGTGGACCGTTATACTCCATACCTATTGCATTATTTGCACTCAGCAGACGTGAGCACATCTTAATATTCTCCATGTGTGAGAGGTTCCTCAAGAATTAGGCAGTGAGTGTGTATCTCGGTGGTATAGCTTATGTGCAGTACTTCCTGGATCCAGTTCCCAGCGCCCAAGAGTAGAACAAACCAAACAAAAAGCAAGCGATGTAACAGCCTTTCACTTCCAAAAGAAAGATCACTGAGGCACCAGCGCTGGTCAACCACATCAGCAACTGGACTAAAGAGTCTCTTGATCTAGCACAACTCCTCAGACACCTGCCGCAGCAGCAATACATTACTGGGGGGACCGAGCCTTTGCTACATTGTAACTGCTGTGCATTCCCTAATGGACTTCACTGCTGGCTCTGTGCCCAACACTACCTCTGAGGTTCAAATACTTGCTACAAGTTGATCTTCAGCACATCATTTTCTCATTATCTCAGGTCCCTGGGTTGTTTCTCTTTTTTTTTTTTTTTTTTTTTTTTTTTTTTTGGTTTTTCAAGACAGGGTTTCTCTGTATTGTCTTGGAGGCTGTCCTGGAATTCGCTTTGTAGACCAGGCTGGCCTCGAACTCACAGAGATCCATCTGCCTCTGCCTCCCGAGTACTGGGGTTGTTTCTCTATCTTTAGCACTCCAGTCTTCCTCCAGCAACTCAAGACAGCACCACTCTAGAGGCAGCAGCATTTGGGGCACAGGAAGCCAATGCGCACTCACCAGCACCCGGAAGTCTGCTGGGTGTGACTCACATTGTCGTGAGGATGGGGTTTTCACACTCAGCCAGATCACCTTTCCTCGTTTCTGCCTCCTCTCCACATCCCTGCCTTTCAGCCCTGAAAGACATGTGCCTCAGATGCCTGGCGACTTACCTATGTCTCATGGCATGGTGGTGAGGGAGGTACCTGGGAGCTCAGGCCAACTGCCGAGCCTCTTATCTTTTCAGCCCATACATTCTGCCATCCCACACACTTGGATCGAAGCCACCAAGAGGAGCTTGATCTGGATGGTCTATCAATTCACAGCTCCCCACAGGCCAGGCTACCCACACCCACCTGCTCTTTTTCTGGCTACCTCAGTAGTTTAACTCAAGTTCCTCGTGCTAATGCAGGTGGGAAAGAGCAACAGAGAAAGACTAATTAAGGGGAATAAAACATTTTAACAAGATGCAACTGGGTGTTTTTTTTTTTGAGGGGGGGTGTTTTTTTGTTTTTGTTTTTGTTTTTTCAAGACAGGGTTTCTCTGTGTAGCTTTGTCGACAAGGCTGGCCTGGGACTCAGAGATCTGCCTGCTTCTGTCTCCTGAGTGTTGGGAATAAAGGCATGTTCTAACAATGCCTGGCTGGTTTTTTTTTTTAAGACCATAGCTTTTATGTAAATTGTATTCATCATCTCCAGGATTAAGACGTCAGGAAGGGAAACATCAAAGTTTGGGGTTTTGCTTCGCTGTGATGTTGGGAATAGAATTCAGGGCCTTAGACAGTGAAGTTTTTTGTTTGTTTTTGTTTTGTTTTTCTGAACCTCTGTGTCTGCCCTACCCAATCTTCTAGCTGAGGTAGTAACAAGAATGAAATAGTAACTAAGGGAATATGCTGGAGAAGAGTTTTCCAAACACAGCAAACTAGAAGGTAAAACAAACAAGAAACTTGGAAGACAATTTTGAGTTCTGTAGGAAGGTACAGCCCCCAATGGATTGGAGGATGGGAGTCCCCCCCCAAAAGACACCATAGCAGCTG